GGGTAGGGTGGATAGGGTGGGTGGTAGGTAGGTACGTAGGTGGGTAGGGAGGTATGTAGGTAGGGAGGGAGGGAGGGAGGGAGGGAGGTAGGTAGGTAAGTAGGTAGGTAGGGAGGGAGGGAGGTAGGGAGGTAGGTAGTATAAGCAGGTTGTAAGGTAGTTTGTTGGGAAAGGACGACATTCTGCACGACACAGAAAATGACGTCAAGTGAAACCCAGTAATACTCTTTTTTTTACAGTACCTTTCAGTGACCACGAATAACAATCACAAGTTTAGGTTCGAGTTGCGGCACATTGAATAGCAAAACTACAATTTATCAAGTGCGGCAACTTCAACCTCGACTTGGAACTATTATTCGTAGTGGCTACTGAAGGTRGTATTCATGGTTTCCCCTTGGACAATAGCGAACCAATCACCGTTACAGCAGTTTTCCTAGTGGAATTAAAACTATCCCAAAAACAACTACACAGTATCTGTTTTAAGAGTATTACAAGGATTACGAGGAAATATTCTTTGAGTAGTTGCCGAGTTTCAATTAACAGTCTTGGCCACAGATACTGATCACCATGTGGTGTTAGCCACAATCAAACAGATGATAAATATTCCGTACGAAACAGGAAATGACGTATTATTTATATTATTTTATCTTAATAGGTAGAAGGGAGTGGTTGGACACAGTTGTACCTCTGACTCCTTACATGAGCTGGAGCCGAATGTGGCTGTACCCACTCATTCCTTATATTTTTGTTTTTGATCTGTAATTTCGCGTCTAGTTTATTTAGTTTGATGATATCGTAATTAATTATTGTATATAGTCGTTCCAGTTATTCCTGCATTCTGCCTTTGATCATTGTCATTATCATTTCATATCTATATCAGTATTATGTAGCTGAAAATCTTGTTATTATTAATTTAACTTTTATGTTGTGGGCCAAATCGGTAACTAGTTAATTAATTTTGTACTGAATGTCTACCCACTTGAAATAAAGTTTGTACGGTTTGTATGTATGTAGTGTTTAAAAAACGAGTAGGAGTGTTTTATCAGGTATAAAAGCACGAGGCGTAGCCGAGTGCTTTTATACCTGATAAAACACGATCTACGAGTTTTTTGAACTGCTTAAAACACTCATGAACAATTTATAAGATTTTGGTTCAACTGGAGCCACCATACACGTCACGAACATGGATTTTTATACTTCGATAGAGATTTGACGTCATGGGCATGCGCAACCAGATTCAATAGAAGCTCCCACACGTTGGATATTTCGTGCCAAGGCAAAGACAGGCACGTTAATCAAAGATCATTAGGGTTGACTATGRCCTTGATGAAGCTCTATGTCTTCATCTAAACTTGGATGCATACTTCATCCCTGATGAAGTCATCCTCATAGTATTCGAGTGGTCTTTATATAAAGATCACGTGTCTTTATATAAAGACACATGTCTCTTTATATAAAATCACTTGAATACTAATGAAGAGGACTTTATCGGGTATAAAGGTTCATGCACGGGACGTGTATGGTGGCTCCAATTGGACCATAAGCTTATGAATTATTAATGAGTGTTTTAAGTTATAAAAGTTTACACTTTTGGCTGTGACGTCATCTGGGTGGATTAGTTCTAACCTGTAATACTAAACACAGGCCATTATAAGACATTAAATTTACAATAAACATTGTGTAAAACATGTTCTTATATGATATCCAAGCCCATCCCACACGGCTTACTGCCTCATCTATTTATCGTGTAAAACAATGAGTTTGGTTTTGATATTTACTTAAATACTTTTTGCTTCAACAAGTTAGTATTTGTATTTTTAATTAATACCTAGATAACGTCTTAGCCAAACGTATAAACCTTGATATCTTCAAGATCATATGAAAATGTTTTATCCTTCAACTATTCACTTCATGTAGAATCAATACTAAAAGTATTGTCTCAGGTATTAGGACCCCTTCTTTAAACCAAGACGAATTACATCTAGGTCTTTTGATCGTTGTCACTGACCAACTAAAAGTTAATAAAGAGTGAAAGAATTGACAACTCAAATAGCTTGATTGCCTGCATATGAACTAATTGCCCAGGTGAATATCCACACGACTCCAGGCAAGTGAAAGATATCCTCTTGGATTCCATATTGGTAAAACACTTTCAGGCTGTACATTATACGAACTATCCACCGCTTTGCTCACTATCTCTACTCTCTCTGAATCATCCGGCACAGCTACGTCACATTCCCAGAATGTCCACGCCCATTGACGACCGGGCGGTTGCTCTTGTCTTCTCAGATTAGCTACCGTCCACGACTTCCCGCCATCGATTGATACGTCAACTCGAATGATGCCCCGCCCTCCTCCACTCCACGCGTAACCTTTGACCTTAACACTACCGTCACTTTGACGACTCACTGTCTGGCTGTCACGTGGATAACAGATAGCTGACGTCACGGGATATTCTTGAATTGCGGGAAAGGAAGTCATGTCCAGGTTCGTTTTGTCGATGTTGGGTGGGGTCCCTTTGTACGCTTTCTGTTGCCAGAAGCTGTCACTCTCATGCTCGCTCACGATAATCTTCCCCAACCATTTGACACTTCTACAAGCAGCTATTCCAGGAGCGATAACTCGAACAGGAAATCCGTAATCCAATGGTATCTGCTCGCCATTCATCTCGTACGCGATCAACACGTCACATCTGCTGTCCATAGCTTTATGCACAGGAATGGACGCACCGTATGATGTGTTGGTAATATCAAAATCCAATCCTTCGAATTGCACGTGTTGAATTCCTAGAGATTCAACAGCTTGATCATCAAGTCCTGCATATTCCAGGACATCTTTCAGCAAAGCTCCACCCCATACCGCTGTAGAAATCATACCCGTTCCTATTGGGAATACGTTTATATTCTTGATTTTTTWAATGTCGTTGCTTCTGTTTCCTGCACAGTGCAGAGTCGCCGCAAAAGTGTGTTTTGTGAACTTGGTTTTCAGCTCCTCTAAAGAGAGTTTTATCTTTCTCACTCCTTTACCAGATATACCAAGTTGATATTCCTGTTGGTTGATGATCGGTACTGGCATGTGATTGCGCACGTAGTGAAGCTCATTGGGTGTGATGTAATGATCCATCAAACGGTCCACAGGGGACTCAGCACAAAAGGGCTTTAGAGAATTGAAAGCACCTGAAAAAAACAAGCAATGGATGCCTAGGCGGATCACTCTGGTATGGATCCTCAAAATCTAGATCTTCTCTCGCTTCAATGTCCTCTTCTTTCAAGTCCCCAATTCGATATTTTTCGAGGATAGATAAATTCGAGCTATGGAAATCAAAGTAAGCAAAGAACGGTTCGAGAGGACCACCAGCAGCCATCATGATCTTGTCTGTCCCTCCAGGATGACTTGCTACATAATCAGTTACGTCGTACACGTTACCGTTGAACGTCATCCAGATATACCATTTTCAAGCGAGTCATGTTTAGACACTTCTTCCATAGAAAATTCTTTTAAATTCCTTATCTTTCCATTCAGTTTCTCTGTGTCTTTATTTGTTTTTAATGCGTTTCGCTGTAAAAGATGTTTGAACCTTCAATTAGTTTCCCTTTTTGTTACGGTTGCATAGACCCCTCTCGTCCAAAATAATACGAGTGTAAAAGTCTGGGAGAATTCTGTGTTAAGATATGTGACAATTAACGTTCAAAATGGCATCTGACCTATCCTGACATCTGACTAAGCTGATTGAAGATTCATTCATCATTTTCTCATTACCCTGATTTTCCTCTGGTTACCCTCAAAAATCGCAGTGTATGATGAGGAGTGTGAAAATGATAAATAAAATGATTGGTTATAACACATTTGATCAATAAATCACACACACACTCCTTCCCTTAAGGTGGCTCGACCCCCTCACGCTTGACCGCTACCTTCCACTTTTGGAACGCTAGTGCATAAACGTCTTTTATCCGATTGCAAATCTTTTTTGC